CTGGCCACTCCGGCAGCACTGCTGACCACCTTACTACTACTACTACTGCTGCTGCTGCTGCTGCTACTACTACTACTACTACTACTACTACTACTACTACTACTACTACTACTACTACTACTTCGACGACGACGACGACAACAACGACGACGACGACGACGGCGACAGCACTGCTTGAGAAACATGTCCTCGGTGAGGGTGCCGTTAAATTGTTATCTACGAAATGCACAGTGTTTTGCCCAAGATTTTGTTTCCAGGTTTGAGTGTATCCTCGATTCCTCGATTTCTTGATGCAAACTTCCCAGCTTGAAACCGACTCCTAGGAGGGGCCTGAAATAATTGCCGTGCCGCGGTTGATGATTTAAATCCTGTATTACCCACAATGAGGAATATACCACAGTTCCCATAGTTTACGGTCCTTAAGGAAATGCAAGATTTCTATCATCAACAGTATTTTGGGCTTCCTGATTAGAGTTGGAGTAGAATACACACCAACACCCTATTCCAATTGTGAAGGCCCCTACATTACCAAATCCAGCCCTTCAGTTTCGCGAATTTGCGTCTTTGGGAACGAGAGAAGCAACCGAAGAACAGCAGAGAAGAGCAACACTATAAATTGGTTGGCCGATGTTCAGGGTACCATCGATTTCTGATTTTTAAGTTGGGTCTGCCGTGAGACTACGTTGTAGCGTTTTTCCTGTGTGCTCGAACTTTGTTGTTTCTATTAAGATTCGGGTCTTGTTTTTCTTTGCTCTCGTTCCGATGACTGTCATGGCACTGTGCAGCTCAATCTGAGCCACGGGGGCCTTGTCCCATGACCATCCAATTTCAGGGATTGTCCACTCCCCATCCTACCAAACCCCGGCCGGCCGGTCCAGGAAACAACAGCCTCTTGCATTCGTTGCTCAAGAATGGCAGCGTGAATGCGCTGGATGACCACAGCATGTCCCGACTGCTCCATGCTGCCACTGGGTTCTTGTCAAGGAATTGAGTTCAGTTACCACAGTAGGTATCCGTAGTAAGTAATATGGCTTCCTGAATATGGTAACCCGAAGCCCTAAACCGAAAGCTTTTCAGCAAGAGCCCCAGGCCAAGTCGAATCAGACCCACTTGGTTTCGGACCTCGTCGAGGTGAGGGCGGACCCGAACTTGAGGACCTCTGAGAGTATATAGGGGCCTTAAGAATTAGAACAGGATTTTGGGCGCCTTTATAGAATATACAAACAAGGAACCCTAAGGAATACTATTGCTAGTTATTTAGGCGTCTATATTGGTTCGTGGACAATCACCGTCAGAATCGTTAGGGGTTCAGGGCCTAGGGTTTGTGTTGGTAATGGTGGTGGGGCCGTTGTTAGGAACACGGCCCGTGCTTCTGCCATGTGGGTAGTTCTCTAAATCAGGGTCCCTTTTACGGTCCCCAATATAGTACGGCACCCTGATAAAAAGGACCCCAAAAGGGACCCGAATTTAGAGAACCACCCATGTGTTGAGGACTCCTGATGGCTGGTCTGCTCTGATGGCGGCGGGTCAGTTTGGCACGGCGGCGATGGTTAAGGTCCTCGTGCTGGCAAAGGCAGATCTCAATCTGCAGATGAAGAATGGTTGGTGCGCCGTCATCGCCGCAGCACAGTTTGGCACGACCGCTATGGTGCAAGAGCTCGTGGAAGCGAAGGCCAACGTCAACTTGCAGACTGAAAATGGTTGGTCTGCGCTGATGGCTGCTGCTTTGGGGGGTAATGCCGCGATGGTGCAGGACCTCATTGACGGCAAGGCAGACGACCAAAAATCCTAAACCCTAAACACTCTTATTTATGGTATCCCTAAGGCGGACGTAAACCAGCAGACCCATACCGGATCCACCGCCCTTATGATGACCGCGGTCTCCGGCAACGTGGCCTCTGCAAGAGAGCTCTTGGATGCAGACGCGGACCCTGACCTTACGGAGTTCTCCGGGTTTTCGCCCTTGATGGTTGCGGCAGACAACAACCATCTGAAGATGGCTCATGTCCTGGTAGATCGGGGAGCCAGGACGGAGCTGGTCGCGCGGACGGGGCAGAGTGCTATGCAGGTTGCCATGGCCAAGGACTACGAAGACTTGGTGCGCTACTTGAGGAGTGTCACGCCGGTGGGATGGGGACTGACCCGCACGATTTTGCAAACCAACGAGTTTTGGTACCACATCGTAGGTGGCCTCGCGGCCGGTGTGGTAGCGGGCAGTGCAATCTACACCTTCACGCACCAGGAAGACGTTTCTGCGAAGTCGCAAAGTGCTTGGTCAGGGAGCTGCCGCCTGGCACTCAAGACCGTCGCTGGGAGCCAGGTATTGGGGCAGGCGTTTCGCTGTCTGGAGGTGATCGCCTGCATCATTATGCCACTGGGAGTTGCCATGATGTGGATTGATGCCTTCAAGTTTATCCCTCTCTTCTTCCTCTTCTATGTGCTTCCGCCTTTAGTAGCCGGGACCCCGATCTGGCAGCCGGCTCTTTTACTCATTGGGGCCCCAAGAGGAGCAGGCATCTTCGATCGGCGTCTGCCGCGTGTCCTGGCCACTGCAGTGCTCCTGACACTCACGGCCTACCAGACGTACCCTGGATCACGGTTGAGTGGCATCTGACAAGCTGATGACCTGGAGATCTTGATGATTTTTCTAGGATGAAGGTTCTTGTGTCGTCACATTTTCCCTGCGATGGCCCAGGTACCACTGCGAAGATCAGATCAAGTTCTATAGCAAAGGGGACATGAGTGTGGAACCTGAAATGGCTGGCTTTCCGGCTACCATCATGGTGCACTTCCCTTGGTTGTTGAACAGGGCCTCAAGCATGCTGGTCTCTGGGTCAATCTTGCAGGCGTTTCTTTTCAATGTTTCTGACAATTACATGAACTCCAAACCCTAAAACCAGAGGTCGCGATTTCCATGCAAGCACCCATTTTTGCCCAGGTCTGCCCCAGCTTCAACCACATGCCCTCCGCGCAGATGAACGTCAGCCTGCCCATCCCGTTGCCAGGTTTGCGGGAGCTCTTCTTCACCTACCAGCACCTGAGTCTTCTTTAAAGACATGTTGAGTCTTCATCGTAGGTCACCTTGCAGTAAAATCAGGTAACCTAAACCCTAAACCCTATAACTGTCACCAAGATCAACAGCCGACCTCTTCTCGGCAGCCACAGCCTGCCCAAGCCCTAAACCCTAACCCCTAAACCCTGAACCCTAAGCCTTAAACCTTGAATCCTAAACGTTAAATCGTGAACCCGGAACCCCTGAACTCTGCACCTCGAGCCCCTAAACCCTAAACCCTGGGCCTTATAAGCCCTAGCACTGGCCCAGGTGCATGACTTGGATCCTGAGTCTCCTTTGGCTTCTCCTCGTCGTCTTGGACATGGCAGGCTTGCTCCCACAGGCGGGCCCACGAGTTTCTTTTTCTAGAGGAAAAGCCCCCGAAACCCTAAATTCCAAACCCCTGCAAGGCGTCGCCCAACCTGGAGCGCGTGCTGTCGTTGGCCCACCAGATCGAGGCAACCAGGGACAGGAAGGAGCTGCGGTTCCGGTGGGGTCGGTATGGTTCTCCTAATCCGTAGGGTTTTGAGTTTAGGGATAACCTTCGCCTCGATCACTGTCACAACTGACATAGTCCTCGGATTGCGATTTCGGGAATGTTCGCACGAGTGTTCCGCCGATGATGAGGACGATGATTTGCCCGGTTTATTGGCAGTGGATCGTTTGGACCGGCATGGTTGCTAGTTGTGATGCAATTCCTTGACTTATGATCGTCAGTATCCTCCTGCTCCTGCTCCTGCTGCTGCTACTATGTCCACCACATCTGCGACCAGTAGTACTACTAGTCCTGCTACTTAGCACTAGTAGAACTATCAGAGGTACTGGAACTATTGGAATCAAAGTCTCCTGATCCTTCAAGCACGCCCTGGCTACTCCAAAAAGAGTGGGGTGGAATCTCGTCCCAAGGACTAAATGACCGTGAAACCCTGGCCCTAAACCCCAGAACCCCTAACCCCAAAGCCCGAAACCCTAAACCCTAAATCCTAAAACCCTAACCACAAAGCCCGAGACCCCGAAAACCCAAGACCCTAAACCCTAAAACCTAAAACCCTTACCCCAAAGCCACAGCATCCTGGGTCGGATCAGGGAGACCCCTCAAAGGGGACCCTTCTTAACCCTTCTTTTGGCTCTCGTAAAAGGGAACCCTAAACCCTAAATCCTAAACCCTAAACCCTAATCCTAACTCCTACAGCAGGAGCTGGAGTCCTTGCCAGCAACTCCAAAGCCAGAGGTAGGCTTTGCATGTAGCCCATGTCCCTCCGGGATCTTGGTGAACGTCCCTGAGCCGTACTTGAGGGAGGATTTAGGCGTTCAGGGTTTAGGGGTTCGAGGGTTTACGAGTTTAGGATTTGGGATTTAGGTTTGTCTTTAGACCTAGGGTCTATTGTAGAAAGTACGCAAAAAATACTCATGCGCCAACCAAGGTCTCGGTGGTTACTGCAGATGTCTTCCTTGACTCCATGAGCGCCTTTAATCTCCTGTACGCCCTGCAGTTTAAGTTTGCGGCATGCCTTATCTTCATTTCCACCGCCGCATCTGGGCTCTTGCTAAGGACCTTAGTTTAAGTTACCACAACAGGAATCTATCGTGAGTAGATAAGGCTTCTTTATTATGCGAGCTTAAGTTTGGGGTGTAGGGTTTAGGTGCTGAAGAAGAGCCCAGGCATTCGTCTGCGAGCTCCTGGGTGGCCAGTTCGCAAAGTTGCACGATGAAGCTCGCGAGTCTATCCGTCGAGGCGTCACCACAGATGGCTTGTACCAGCTCCTGGCCTTCGAACGAAGCTGGGCTCTTTGGTTAAGGAGCGTAGCTTCAAGCGACTAGAGCGAGGAAATACTATTATTTACGATAGAACCTTGATTTGGCAATTTGGATCAACCCGAGAATATTTACGATCGAGCCCTAAATTATAACACCTTAAAACGACCACTCAGATCCCGATTATGGTACCTGAATAAGAACCCCACACCCTAAACCCTAA